ACCACGCCAAACAAGTATGTTTCTGAGTTTCAACTAACTTGCCTTCTAGTGCTACGAGACCAGTATCCCAGATTTAGATTCAGCATTCTTTTTGAAATTATGACATGCTGTGTGATGGTTAAGTTTTAGGTGTCAACATGACTGGATTAAGGAACACCGAGAAACCTGGCAAAGCGTTATCTTGCAGTGTGTATCTTGAGGGTGTTTCCAGAGGAGACTGGCATGAGTCTGAGTGCATTAGGTGGAGAAGAGTCATCCTCAACATGGGCGGGCACCGTCCGCTCTGCTGGGGGCCCGGAGAGAACAAAAACAGAGAAAAGGCAAATATGTTGATCCATCTGCCAGAGCTGAGATACTCTCTTCCTTTCCTGTCCGGGGACGACGACTCCAGACTTCCCGGCTTTTGGACTTCAGGGCTTGCACCAGCAGCCCTGCAGGCTCTCAGGCCTTCGGCGTCAGACTGAGGGTTCCTCTGTCTGATTCCCTGGTTCTCAGCCCGAGCCACGTGACCAGCATCCCCAGCTTGGAGACGGCCTGTCGTGGGACTTCTCAGCCTCTGTAATCAAGTGAGCCAGTTTCCCTTATAAATCTGCTCTAATCTATCTAATCATCTATCCATCTATTATCTATCTATCTATCTAATCATCTATTATCTATCTACCCATCTCCTATTAGTTCTGTCCCTCTGGAGAACCCTGACTACCGTATACTACGACCTTAATTCATGGAGCAAACATTTTTAAGTGTATTTTTCTCATTAAATTATTTAGGTTCAATGTTTATGTGGCAGTGTTGAGAACTCTGAATACATTTCCATCATATTCAAAGTACTGCTACTCTCTGGACACCTCAAGGTAATTTCTGACATTATGACAAATATAAAAACCTGAATGGCTGAACTTGTGCGTACAGAGTAGTTTTATTATGGCATTATAAAGTATCTCTCAAAAGGACTCACTCAGTCATATATTAGACTTCATTTCTATAACATAAAATTTCATATTTATACTGGGGAATCTCAGGAATAGTTTCTTTATATGGTTCCAGGCTTTGCCGCTAGCACAACTGGAAAGAGTGCCTCTGGCATTACCAATAGGAGTGTGAGAGGAGGGTGTACCTTGATATGACCATAATTGTTAGCTGTAGTATCTATGGAATGTGACTATATATATTTCATATAATTTGGTTAAACATATATTTTTATAGTTAATAGCTAACATAAATAGAATATAAATAAAATTTTAAATGTGTACAAAAAATGACAATGGTAGTGAGAAGGGTGCACATTTCTTCATTCTTCCTATTCTCTGTTGATTATATTTCCTTTTGGAAACTCTTTCCCCACTGGCTTCCATGATACACACTCTCCTAGTTTTCTTCTGGCCTCTCTGGCTACTTGACTTCGTTCTCCTTGGTGGTTGCTTTTCCTCCAATTGCTGCTTAGTTATTAGCTTTCCCAGGAGTCTTTACCTGGCCCTATCCTCGCTCTATCCCCTCCCTCTGGGGATCTCACCCATGGCTTCAGCTACCAGGGATGTCTTCCATATATCCACTTTAAGCCAAGATTGCTCCTCAGAACCACAAACTCAAGGACATATTTCCTGCTGGACATCTCCACCCACGTGCTCCACAGGGACCCCAATAGTAGCATGTCCAACACTCAGGTACTCTTCCTCCCAAATGCCCTCCTCTGCTTTCCCTTGACCAGCACGTGCTGTCCTCTTCCCAACACAAATCTTTGGAGTTACCTGAGTCTTCTCTCTAGCTTGCCCTAAAGATAATTGCTCAATAAGTCTTATTGATTCTACAATTTAAATATCTTTTTTAAAAATTTTTTCTTTTTTTTCTTTGTTTTTTTGAGACAGAGTCTCACTCTGTTGCCCAGGCTAGAGTCAGTGCCGTAGCGTCAGCCTAGCTCACAGCAACCTCAAACTCCTGGGCTCAAGCGATCCTCCTGCCTCAGCCTCCCGAGTAGCTGGGACTACAGGCATACACCACCATGCCTGGCTAATTTTTGTATATATATTAGTTGGCCAATTAATTTCTTTCTATTTTTAGTGGAGACGGGGGTCTCGCTCTTGCTCAGGCTGGTTTCGAACTCCTGACCTCGAGCAATCCTCCCGCCTTGGCCTCCCAGAGTGCTAGGATTACAGGCACGAGCCACCGCGCTCAGCCAAATATCTTTTAAATCTTTCTCCTTTCTCCACTTCATTTCCAATGGCTTGGCTGATGACTCAATATTTCTAAATAATATTTCAAAATCATCTCCCTCTTTTGGAGATTCTTTGTGAATCCAGTCCTTACTTTATTGTTACAATGATTTTCTTTTTTTATTATTATTATTATTGCTAATCTTTATTTTTCTCCTTACAACATTCTGACATTAACTGTTTAAAAGGAAAAAGGAAAATGGGTAGCGTATCCCTTAAGAGTACTTTTTTTTTTCAGAATGGTTTTCTTAATATGCAAATTACAACAGTGTCACTGCTCAGACTCCTTCAATACCTCCCCTTTACTTTCAAATTCCTTAGGATATTCTAGGCAGCCCTTCCTTATCTTGCCCGCTGCTCATTCACATCCACTGTGTCACCACAATGGCCTGCATTGAATCGCCAAGTCCGGCTCTCCTGCCTCCCACCGCTCTGCCTTGGCATGGGCTGCTTTGTTTCTCTGGAATGCCTTTCGCCCGCGTGCCTTGCTGATGTCAACTCAGCTGAAGCTTCATCTCGTCTGGAAAGACGGTTCTCCCTCTGTCGGTCCGATCGGGTATTTCCCGTGTGCCGACACCCTGCTCTGCTCGTGCATCTGTCCCGCAACACCATGTGACAGTGCTGTCTTCCTGTCTCTGTCCTCCACTGGACTGGGAAGTTCCTACGTTTAGGAATTCTGTCTTTATCTCTGTGTTCACAGGGCCTGGCATACAATATACATCAAACAAACCTTTGTTAGATGAAAATCTATAGTAAGAACTCACACAGAAGAAGATTTGTAGTGAAGCGCATCATTAATATCCAGGTTTAGCATTGATGGTGAGACTCCCGATCGAACATCCGTTTTCCTCAGCTCTGAGCGACTACAGATTAGTTGCCATGGAAAGGGAAAAGGAAGTTTCAAACTGGGCTGCAGAGGTGGTCACCAGAGGCTGGGGTGGGACAACTGGGGAGATGTTGGTCAAAGGACGCCAAATGTCAGTTAAACAGGACGAATAAGTGCAAGAGATCCATTGTACATCACAGTGACTGCAGTTAATAACAATATATTGTATACTTGAAAACTGCTAAGAGAGTAGATTTTAAGTGTCCTCACCACAAAAAAATGATAAGAATGCAAAGTAATGCATATGTTAAATAGCTTGATTTTAACCATTCCACAATGTATGCAAATATCAAAAAAATCATGTTATACACCATAAGAACATACAATTCTTACTCATTAAAAAAAATTGTTTTTTTTCTTTTTAGAGACAGGGTCTTGCTATGTTACCCAGGCTGGTCTCAAACTCCTGGCCTCAAGCCATCTTCCCACTTCAGCTTCCCAAAATGCTGGGATTATAGGCATAAGCCACAAAGCCTGGCCAAAAATAAAAAGTAAAAAATTAAATGTAATAAAATGATCTGCAGAAAGTTGTTATAACTGATTGTGAATTCTTTCATGGCCTCATGGTAAAATATCAATAACAGATATTATCCTCTTTTTCTAAGTTCTGAATATATTTTTACCTAGATGAGAAGTCTGTTTTTCAACACTACAGGTTTCACTTAAGCTTTCTAATTTGCATTCAGTTGAACTGTAGCTAGTCGGAGATTTAAAGAGGAAATACTCCTTCATCATTTATATAACAAGTGCTGCAGCTTCTATAATCTTTATGAGATTCATATGAACCACTGATTTGTGACAACATCAGTTGACATTTTATAGATCATCAGAATCTTCCTCAAGGCAGAAATTTACAGCCTTGTATCTATCTAATAGCCAACAGTCACGGAAGTATTCATGTAGCTGCTAACATTTATATTCCTGAACCTCACCGTACAACTTCATCGTACTGTACAATCTTTGACAGCAATTCCTTCTCCTGTTTTCAATCATTCTTGGTTATGAAGCTATAAAATTACAAAAACATGAGGATTAGAATCTTCTTTTAACATGTTCCTTGTCTATGTTTTTTCAACAGCAGAATGAAATTATTTCACCAATATGAAGACTTACTTAAACCCCTCATTTCTTTTCATTATCAGTTTGCTTCTTTCCAGGGGAAAGATACTTTGTTCCTTCAACCATGGAGGGCAGAGAATCTTACCCCACTCCCCTGGAATTCCATCTTAGAAACTAGAATCCTATGGCGATTACAGGCTACACATTTCCTTTTGTTTCATAAACATGGGGGAAAGTTAGGAGTCTCCAGGGTGGGAAGTTCAGGAGACAGGATTACTGCTCAGGACCACTGCAGTAGGAGAGCACTCCACTGCCCCACATGGCTGATTTTTAAAAAATATTCTGCCTATGCACCACTACCCAAAATGAATTGCACTAAATGATGCTTTGGGATATAAAATGAAAAATATTAAAACTTCCATTTATAATCATTTTTATCTGAAAACAAATTTTAAAACTAAGCTTAACTAATATTAAATATATTTTGAGCATGTACTTTAATATATTAAATACATGTAAATTAGGGTACCTGCTCAAAATACTTTTATTGATATATGCACGATTAAATATGTTTGGGGTTTTGCTACTAGAAGTGATGAGACACCACTGAAAATTGTGGCCAGGATAATGACATCATGAAAGGGAATTTTAGGAAAATCAATCTAAGAGCAATACAGAGGTTAACTTGGAAAGAGTAGATATTGACGTGAGAAGGGGCAGTTAGAAGCCTATTGTAGGGGTAAGATATGTAACCCTAACAATATTTGTACACACAGAATTTGGGGAAAAAATAAATTAATTAATTTTTTAAAAAAAAGAAAGAAAAACAGAAGCCTATTGCAAGAATCTAAATGCCAACTGGGTTGGTGGTAGTGGGAAATAGAAAGTCGTAGTTGAAAGAGATGATGTAAAAGAAGAATCTTAAATGTTAGGAGTGAAAAAAATGTCAAAGAATGTGTGGAGATTTTGAGTTGAATTGGCTCAAGAAAAAAAAAAACCAGTTATCAGTGTCTATTCATGCCAACCAACCAAGAGAATAGGTTCACGAGCAACAGGTGTCCACAGTGAATGCCCACAGTGCATGGGAGCAGGTGACCAGCGATGGCCACAGTGAGGCCAGCACGGGCTCAGGAGGCAGCACAAGGAGCTTAATGAGGTGGCTGTCAGGAGCTTGCCTGTCCACCCAAATGCCATCTTAGGGGAGAAGGAAAAGGGGGCAAAGTCTGAGCATCTACCTGGCCCCGCATGTTTATGCCAGAAGCTGAACTTGACAAGCCCTCACTCCTCCACAAGCGCACTGCACACACAGACCGGCGGTTTGACAGCAAGACTAGATCGATTATAGCAAATAAACCGTGTGTGCTTTACATGTCTGAGGAGTAGTGTATAGCCTTTTAAGAGCTAAGTAACACTAGGATAGCATTAAAGAAAAAATTATTCAACGAGGGCTGTAAAAGCGTGGTAAGGCATGCTGCATCCAGCACCACTGTGATCGGCATTGGCACCATTGCAACGGAGTCCCGCAGTGGGGAGAGAGATTGGGTTCAGCTCTGAACACAGCACGGGCACGTGGGGATTTGCAGCGAGGGAGCGGGTGGGGCTCAGTGGACGGGAAATTACTAAGAAGAAACAGCAGTGGTGAGGGGGTTTCTGGCTCAACCGACCTAGCAATTAGAGCCCGACTAAAGTCTGGTCAAGCAAAGAATCTTTATCAACAGAGGTACACAGAATAACCCAGGCGTATTTCAGTATGTTTTATTCTCAGTAAGTGGTCTGAGAGCTTCCACAAAAAGGAGGTATGCCATCAATATTTTGGTCTGTTTTATAAAACAAGTCTTTTTTCATATTTTTACTTGTATGTGTACTTTTGACTAATGACAACCTCCACCAAAATAGAGACACCTGGTGATTGTTAGTGTGCATATGCAATATATTTATAAAATCTTGCTTTAAATGGGTTATATCATTTATAACATTTTTGTCATGCAATCTTATGGCATCCGAATTCCGCTATATTAAAAATTAGATTAAATTAATTGGATTTTTAAAATATTTTGTTAAACAAATTAATGAAGTACATAAGCATTCCTTATACATCTGTTGTTTATATTCACATTTATACTCCAGGCTCAAGATCAAGGGTACATATTATACACGCACAGATACACATTTATACACAACGCCTTAGCCTTAGATGTGGAAAATCATCCTCTTTGGCAAAAGGACACACCTATTTGAAATTTAAAGAGGTTGGAAATACAAAATGTTTGCTTTTCTGGAATAAATAAAAGCCCACATGGCCTTGTTCCCTGCAGAATGTGGTAGGAACCCTTTCCACTCAGGCAAAGGCTAATTGGGCATTAGAAAATGCCAGCGAATCTCATTGTAATGGGATTCTATCCATGTGTAATTGCCATTCCCAGAACCAAATACTTTCATCTGTTCCCATGTCTTCCAAAAAATTAGTACCCTTGGTGGTAAAGGAAAACATCTACAGATTGTCATTTCATCTTAGAGAGCCATTCAGAAAGAAAGAGACATACTATACGAGCTGGGGACCAGAAACAGATTGAATTCATTAAAAAGACACAAGCCAAACTGTTCATCTCTGGTAAATGAAAAATTATCACTGTTGTTGTTAAAACCATATGTTCTAGGTAAGAGGACAGGTTTTCGTATTCATTGTGACATTTGTTATGAGGAATGTTAATGGACTTAATGCTAGTATGTGCTTAGCAGTAATTTGCAAATTTGAAAAGTAACCTAGAGTTCAAAAAATGAGTAAGGAAGATAAGACACTTCATTGGCGATATTTCTCAATTATCATTGTGTCTGAATGTGAGATCATAGGTGAAGACCGATGACATTTGTCATCATTTCGCAGCTTTAGAGTATGCAGATGCAACCTTTAAAAGAGTTTGTTTATTCTTAAAAAAAAAAAAAAAGTCTTATTGTTTCTTGGCCTTTTGGCTAAGATCAAGTGTGGTAGGAAAAAAATCTTAATTTTTTTTAAGCTGCTGTATGATGAAATTAATGGAAACTTTGATCATTTGGCCCAAAGTGGTAGTGATTTGCATCTTTCAGCTGAAACTCTGCTCAGTTCCCCAGTACTAGGTTTTAAAAACAAAAATTACTATTTTATTGATGTGCAGCATATGGGGCATACATGAAGTATAGCAATGTGCACTGCATAGAAAAGTACTCAAATCATTAGTGTTCAGCTGATGAATTTTAACCCAGTGAACACATCCACAATTTATTTATCCATTCTCTTGTTGATGAGCTTTTTGGTTGTCTCCAGCTTTGGCTGACTAATGCTGTAAGAACTTTATTGCTAACATCTTTTGATTATTCATGGAGTATGCATTTCTGTTAGTTCTATAGCTAGGAATAAAATTATCTGGTTAGAGAGTATATATATTTTTTCAACATTAATAGATAATGAGAATCTTTTAAAGAGATTGCACCAATTTACGCGACCACTAGGCATTTATGGGAATTACAGGTACATCCCTCCTTATCCCCTGGTAGTGTCTGCCTTAAGTTTGACCTTTTTGGTGGGTTGTAGCCCATTTTGGCTTTAATTTGCATTTGCCTGAAAACTAATGAGACTGTATATCTTTCCATATGTTTGTTGGCCCCTTAAATATCCTCTTTTGTGAACGGCCTAATCAAGACTCTTGTCCACTTTTCCAGTGTGTTATCTTTTTCTTATTGAGGAGTTCTGTGTAAATTCTGGAAACAATTCTTTATGTGGTTGCAAGTATTGTAAACATTCTCCCTTTGTGCAGCTTTTTGAACTCCCTCAATAAGATATTTTGATGAACAGAAATTCTTATTATTAATATTGCCCAATTTATCAATCTTTTGACTTAATGTTACTGCCTTTTACATCCTATCTAAGAAATATTTCCTTACCCACAGGTTATGAAGAAATACTCCTATGTTATTTTCTAAAAGCTTTACCATTTTACCTTTCCCAATTGTACAATCCTCCTTGAATTGATTTTTCTGAACAGTATACAGTAAGAGTGAAATTTTATTTTATTTTATTCTTGAAATGGATACCAATAGATTTAGCACCGTTTATTGAAATGACTGTTTTTCTGCCAGGTCTCTGCATTTATAAAATTCAAGTGTCTGTTTATGTGTTGATCTGTTTCTGGACTCTCTATTATGTTCCATTGGTCTATTTATCCATTTGTACCAATACCTACTTGCTACAATTACTGTAATTTTTTTATAAGTATTCCTACAGAGTAGAATAATTCCTTCTCATTCTAGAGTTTGGTTATGTATTGGTACTTTGCATGTCCACACACATTTTAGAATAAATTGCAACAAAAATTTCTGGGCTTTTAGATTGTTTAGAATCTATAGATCAGATTGGGAAGAATTAACATTTTATAATATCAAGTCTTACAAAACAAAGTATATCTATAAACAGTAAACATACAAGCCTTGTATTTCCATTAATTAATTTAGGTTTTTCATTTAATAATGTTTAATTATTAATAACTTAATTTAATAATATGATAATATTAATATGGATTTTTATATGTGTCTTGAACATATTAGTTTTATTCCTAAATATTTGCTGGGTTTTGATGCTATTATAATTGGTAATTTGCAAATTAGTTTTATTGATTTTTCATATATAGAGTATAATTTATTTTTTAATTGATCTTAGATCCAATATTAATAAGTATACTTATTAATTCTAACAGTATATCTGTACATTCTTTTAGATGTTCTACATACATAAATCATGCTGACTACAAATAATAACAGTTTTATTTCTTTCTTCCCAAACTGTGTACCTCCACTTTTTCATCTTACTTAGTCGCATTAGCTAACACCTACGGTAAATTATTGGAGAAAAGGCAATAATAGGCATTTTTGTCTCTTGCCCTATCTCAGAAGGAAAGCTCTTAATGTTATACTATTAAATGTAGTATTTGCTTCATTTTTAATACCATTTATCAGATTAAGGAAATTTATTTCTATTCCTAATTTGCTAAGTTTTTTTAAGTCATAGAATGGATCTTGACTTTTATCAAATGCTGTTCTGCATCTTTTGAGTGATTCTATGAATTTTCTTTTATTCTTTCAACTTGATGAATTATAATGATTCCTCAATTCTTATTTTGAAAATATTCTAATCTGCAAAACAG